ACTAGCCACTTTTTCCCACATAACATTAGCATCCTCATGCACAGATAATATCTTAAAATCTAAAATCTTACTCTCAAAAATATTTTTGTTAATATTCTTTAAAAGCCCCCATCTAATCTTAGAATATCGTTTTAATTTATTTTTTATTATCTGTCCCTTTATCTTAAAGTCCAAAACTAATAATCGATGTTGGGTACATAAATTTTCACTCGGAATAACTTTAAAATCTTTGTAATCTAAACGATCTAATTTTCTTATAAGAAAATAGTCAATCTGTGTTTTACGATATCCATTTTTATAAGTGATGAGATGCTCATTCCTTTTCTTAAATAAAATATTAGCAATTGAAAAATCATAAACTAAACAAAAATCTAATATGGTCTTGCCACCTTCACTTGTTGTTCCAAAACTACAGCCACCATGAATGTTTTTAAAATCATCTACCTCTCTATCAACATGTCCATTTAAATCTCCTACAATAAGAACTCTTTCTTCTAGAGATATCTTTTGTAATAATTCTTCTAAGTCATTCAAAAAATTTAATTTAGAACTCATATCCAAACCTACTTGAGGAGCATAAGCACTTATAATATTAATAATCTTATCCTCAACAATAATCTTTAAAGCTATAATTCTATCTCCAATCCTATTAATTTTTATAACATTATCCTTTAAACTCTTATCTATAATAATACCTACACCATTTCTAGTACCTAAGTTTAAATCCTAAACTATCAATTTCCTTAGCCTTCTCTCTAACCCATTTAGTTTCCTGAATGCACAAAATATTTATCTTCCTATGAATCATAATATCTATTAACTCCATTAATTTTCCTGTAAGGGAACCTATATTCCAAGTTCCTATCATAATTTTAGTTTCATGGAGTAGCTTCTTTGCCCACATCCGTCCTTGATGTGAGAACTCTTGCCTATTTAACACTGCACCCGGGCGCCAGTGCAGCGGCCCTTGCACACTTGTAATGCAAAGATAAAGACTGCAATAATGAAAAATATTTATGACAATGCAATGATAAAGGCTATAGTTATAGAAAAAATAGGAGAAAAGGAAAAGAGAGCTGCAATGAAGGTTGCAGGATAGTGATAATGCATAGCTGAAGGATGCAATAATGGAAACATAAAGGATGAAAAAAATTTAGGGCTATAATACCATGACAAATATTGGAGAATAGGTTGGTGTTTACATTTCAATGTAGACAGAATTTATACAATTCTAGGAAAGCATTTAATAGGAAAAATATGATATCAATGAATAAAATTAATAACAAAATAATTATAATAGCCCATAAATTGATGAGTAGATAGGAATGTTCACATATTTCACAAAATGAATTTCTCATCTTTAGATTGAGAAAAAAGGGAAGCAATGTCTTGAACCTTGGAGATGGAATTATAGAAATATGAGAAACAATATGATAACATTTGGGTATAGATATGCAACACATACTAGTTTGAAATTATACAAAAATCCAAAGAGAGGCGGGCCCAAAAAATGAGCGATGAAGCAACTACAAGCAAAAACTGGCTAAAAAAGGTGAAAATTCATTGACTGAATGGTCAAAATACTGCTGAAAAATATAAAAGGTGATTGAACATTTTGGATCTTTATACTATAAATGAAGAAATTAGTGGAAACAAAAAAACAATGGATACCTACAATGTATTGATGATGATCTAGCCCAACCTTATGTAAAACCATGTCAGGTCAAAAAATCAGAGAGGCGGGCAAAAAAAATGAGCGCTTAAGTGACTAAAAATAAAAGATTGCAAAATAAGTGTAACAAATCATTTGATTGAAGAGGCAAATTGCTGACAAGCGTAAAAAGGTTGATTATTTTGGACATTTATATTATGAATGAAGAAGTTAAAGAAAAAATGTTTTCCTTTATGGCATAAATGAAGAAATAATTACAAAGAGTTATAATGGATTTCATTTATATATTCATGTATGAATAAAAATGATGTGAAATAGCATGCGATGAACAAGAATTGCCTTTGAGAAATTAATAAAAGCGATGAAATTTATCTTGCTAATAAATAACTCTTTGCTTGCTCGAGATTGAGTTAAGAATTCGTCGTTGAGAGATTTAGCAATGACAATAGATCACATGTAGAGATTACGGTAACTTTCAAAATAACAACTAAATATTTAGGTAATGCAAATAGCTAATGATAACGAAGCCTCAAATTTAAGATCTAGATCATTCACCTTGAAGTCCTTCACTCGTTTTGAAAGTGGTGGCTAGCGGAGGAGGATCGTAAGTAGACTTAGCGATGCCACTAGTAGACAGGTTATCCCGAGAGGACTCGTCGCTGGGGAAGAAACCGGACTTGGAAGAGCAGGTGGGCGGCTGTCAATGATCCACTCGGAGTCTGGACGTTGTTTTTCGATGACGTGTATGAGGGTCGATAGGATCCGATCCAAGTAAGTTCCAACGGTGTCGTCGTTGGAATCAAATCCTGCGTTGAAGAACGGCGATCGTTGGATGTCGAGGTTGCCGTGAGCGTCAAACACAAGTCCCCATTCAAATTCGGGGTCCGCCATGCATGGTGGTAGTGAGTGATGAAGCCAAAGAGGGGAGACGAGCGAGCAAACTGTGAGCAAGAAGAGAGAGGCTGGTCACGGGTTGGAGAGGGGCTAAGGGCGGGTGGAGCTATGGGGGGAGAAAGGCTAAAATCTGAGAATTAATTCAGATTTTCGAAATTGGCGGACTCTTAATTTCAATTTTAGAATTTTGAATTTGAAATTAAGATTAGGAGGGAAGGGTTAATGGTGTATTAAAGAAAATTAAAAGGGGGAGAGATATGAGGGATGACCAGCCATGTAGAGAGAGGGGAGAGGTTGGAAATTTAAGTAGGTGGGGACCACAATTAATTAATCAAAATCTGAAGTTTAGATTTCAAATTTTAATTATATCATGTAACTCCCTAATTTAACGAAAATTGGGAGGGAATTTGAATTTCAAAAGGTTGTAACTCCCCTTAATTAATTCCCCAATTTAAGTGGCTCAATTAGGAAGGTCATTAAGGGATGGAAATTCAAATTAGCAAGGGGCCAAAGGGGGACCGGCGGTATGGGCTCATGGTGGCCGGCGGCAAGGGGATCTGCGGCGGCCGGCGGGAGGGGCTCTACAGGCCGGCGGGTAGAGCTGTGCAGGCCGGCGGTCTGGATAGATCCAAGGGGTCGGCGGCAATAGGATAAGGGGAAGGGGAGAGGTGAAAATCTGAGGATTTTCGTTGCTTTGATTCCACTCAACTCGTTCTCTTCAATACTCGATCTCCACACAATAAACTTTGGACTAAATCTAGAACTCACGAAGAGATCTAGTCTTCCCGTTGAACTCACTAAGAGATCTAAGAGAAGTGCACTCAAAAAGAGAACAAAGGGAAATATCTTTCATTCCTCAAAAACTAAACTTTTACAATACATGATGCCTCATATAAGGAGGCCCAAAAATAATAAAACTGAAAAGACAGAAACGCCCTCTGGGCTACATAAGCGAAACAATGCCCTCAAGGGCAAACTAGGAAACTAAAGAAAGTACACATGACATAAGCTGTAAATAAATCAGAAATAGAGACTCTGGATCATAGCCGTCGATCTGCGCCGCCGGCGATGGTACACGTGTCGAAATCTGATGTCCCCATCAAAAAAATTGAGCATAGTTAATAAAACTTTAAATTGGAGAAAATGAGTATTCATATCATGTTACTGAGTGCTTCATAGCTACATGGAATAGCGAAAATGCTGCTTTCATAATTTGAAAGATGCATCATAAAGACAACCATATTATCCCAATCTGGTCAGATCAGATCATCGAGATGATTTAAGTGGATAAAACTGACAAAGTAGAATCCCAATTTAAAAAAAAAAAAAAAACACATGCAAATGTTCCGCACAAGAAAAGTTTGACTATGCATTAATTTTTTTATTTACTTGCTGTATTGACAAACGAAATGCACCTTAGTCCAAACCATTTTTATAAATCTAATTGAATGAAAAAATAGTTATGATTTCTAGATAAGAAAAATGAATAGAAATTATTTTATATATAATTAAGATGAGTGCAGAAAAATAAAAACTTCAGATAGATTTGTGGTAAAACTAAGAAAATAGATTGAAAAATGATTCTTATTGAGATTTGAGATAACATGAGTAGCACTGATTAAAGATAAGATCACGTAGAGTAGACTAAAGTGATTGGAAACGTGAAGATGCAACGCCAAGGAGTAGCAAAATTTACATGAAAGGACTTAGAAAGAATGGGGCCAATTGAGATAACGTCGTTAAAGTTGTATAAAAAGGCATGTATAAAATAGAATTAACACCTAAATTAGGACTCAATAAGAATGAACGGTGAATGAGAAATAAAAAAGTTCATCGAAATAGTTGAGATAAAACTAATGACAAGATAATAAATTAAAAAACATTAACACCTCACTCAATACAATAGAAACTAGTGAGAACTAGTATTCATAAGTTTGACCCCAATTAAATGGATAAGAATGTTGATCATGATATATCAATGACCTGAATTGCTGCAACGACCCAACCCATTGATCAGTAAAGTTCATTATAACAATGGCAGGACAAGATATGCAACCATCAGCCTTTAGTTATGAAAGCCAACTATTTTTATCACAATAAAGAAGTTGTTAGAATGAAGTATCAATTCTTTGCACTACTAAACACAATAACACAATCATATAAGTATACTTCCTCTATCTCCTTTATAATACCAAAACAGGATGTTACTAACCTCTATTTTGGTCCTTAATCCTCATAAATAATACATTATACAATATAGCAAAAGCAGATTGAAGCAGTGCACAAAAATTAATATAATTTAATTGGTGCCATATTGTTTTGTCTTTCTATTTTCATCCCGTGCAATGCACTGCCAACATACGAATATGCTTTTCTAGATAAGCATGTTAAAAAGACTCCACTATATTTTCTAGATACCATTTCTAGTAATTACCGAGTTTGCAGGAAGCCAAGCGGGTCTTCTCAAGCACTGAGCAACAGGTTCATTAATGCCATCCCTATTCCCACCCAAAAAAAAAAAAAAACTAAATAGATAAATATAATTTGTATGAAAGAAGTGTATCAACTGAACTTACAACCAAGGAGGGGGAGGGCAGTGCATGTGCGTCACATTTAAACTGTTAAGGTTCAGAACTCCAGACCTGAAATTGAATACCGAGCAATATGTCTGAAATCTGCATCTGCAGAGACCTTTAAAGAGCATTTCAACAGCAGTTGATTACTTTCAAAGAATTTGAACGCATAAAAAATAGATGCATCATAGCAGTCCCCTGAACTAGGCAGACAGCTTTTGCCTTCTGAAAATCTCTTATTATTTCTTACCCTAAAATACATCTTATTTAGGGGTACCAAGCTTCCTAAGAAAAAAAATAATAATAATAAGCTTCCTAAGAGGTCCAAGCACCAGCCAATATGGTGTCTAACAAGGCCGTACATTGATTTATGTTGTGATCAAAGTTTGCCTGTGGAATGAAAAACTGGTTGGTGAACAGAGCCACAAGGCAACATTGCTTACTTTGACCACTTATCACCGATGCACTTTTGGATCATGTTAAGCAATCAACATAGCAGTTTTCTCAGACGCACTCACTGCTTCCTAGCGTCCCGTTAAAACTGGATCATATGATCCAATTTGCCCAGGAATCAACAACTTGGACTGAACCAACCGGTTCCTAGTCAACAATTTTCATTAAAAATTTTCAAGCCAACATGTTCCTAGTCAAAACAGCTAAAAAACCTCAAAAGCAAGCAAAGAATCCAATCTCATAAGAACTTTTCTATTTGGCCTTCGACCCTTGCATAGTGCAATCTGGTCCTCCCACATGTACTTCATTTCTGTGCGGGCAATTTGTGTTACTAAACAAGTCAATTAGAGATCAACTCATTTCCTTTGCAACAAATTCAGATAAGGAGGAATTCGAAATTAGGTTAGGTTAGGAGATCAAAAGCAGATTAGGCTTGCTACTGATTAGACTGAATTTTTGTTCAAATTAAGTCAAGATACAAGTTCTGGCAACAAGAGGAAATAATAAATTTCCAATAAATTAGGGTATTAACAAAGATAACCAATGCTGCATAAGAACTGGCATACATGTTTTCCTTTCATTAACCAAAAGAAACAATGCCAAAAATAAATAAATAAAACTCCACATAACGCTTTCTAAGATATTTAGAAACAGAGATATTGGAAAAAATAAAGTAGAAATTAAAACCATTACCAAATGGCTCAAGTACTGAAAAAGAACGTAATCGATCTTTTATTCGGATGATGAAAGGGAAAAGCATTCATGGCATACCAGCCATCATCAAGGTGGAAAGCTAACTGGTAAGAGCAGGAAGGATCCAATTTGATGGAGTGAATTTCCTTTGGTAATATATTTGACTGCTCCTGAAAAGAAGACATGATTTTCAATGAACTTTTGAATTACATAATCCATCTAACAGAAAATTCATGTTTCTGAAACTCTTCAGCATGCAATTTTTTTTTTTCATGTAATTTGTTACATGCTATGTGCTTGCGAATGCATATAATTCAACCTCTTCCTATCTATACGAAGCATCCCTGCCTTCAAAGAAAAATAATGCTTTTGTATGTCCTTCATATTATTATCAAGCTAATCAAACAAAAGTTAGCAAGGCAGCTGAAGATGCAGCATATAACTTTTTAATTTCAGTAAAATGCTTAGGATATCAGGTGGTCCTTGAACATATAATAGTTCGATACGAAAAGAATCACCAAGTATTGTGTATTGAGGCACAATGAATTTTATAAAGGTAATCTTTATACTCAAATTTCACCCAGATATACAAGGTTTATTTAGATCTAGAGTTCATAATTTTTTCTGAGGGTGCAAGTCTTTATAATGAATTACCACTCCATTTCAAAGAAGAAATCTCAATTAAGGACGTCAATAGGCTCTATTCAACATGTGGGTATTCAAACAAATGGAATTCATGTGCATATCCCTTGTGAGCATGGTGACAAAACTTATCAAAATCTCATAATTCCATCATCCAAGAATATATCAGGTAGGCCACAATTAGAAGAGTCAAAGAACCATAGCTATAACAATGTAGTTTCAAGTCAAGGAGTTGCATATTGTAATTACTAGCAAGAGGTTATAAGCTTGTTGTGACTTTTAGTATGTCTATGAGTTTTGTTTGAATGTTGGAAGTCATATTACCAAGCATAGGTTAACTTATCTGAGATGGTCACCTAAGGAACAAGTTGATGGGACATCAATGCATGGAAAGTTTATCATAGAAGGGGTCGTAGATCAACGACCGCGATTGAGTCGTTATATTATTAGTTGTTATGTGTGTTGTATGTGATTTAATTTAGTTTGTGAACTTTTACTTAATGTTATGTGTTGTAAGACCAAGGTCATTTATGTCTTTTTATCTTGTCATGTGGTGGAGCCTATATATATGGCTCTCTCCTCCCCTTGTAAGATGATGATGATTATTTTGAATGAATTCTAATTTCAGCCCTCTTCTCTTATGTGAGAGTGAGTGGTGGAGTGGTGAAGCCTTAGGAAAAGGCAAATGAAGTACCCAACAGCCCATTAAGGTGAGCTCTTGGTTTTCCCCTTGTATATCTTTCCCTTTCCCTCCTTCCTCCCTAACCACTAGTCAGCCCCTCTCCCCTTCCCTCTCTCGGCCATCCACCCCTTCCCCTTCCACCGCCCATGGCAAGCCCACCACCACCACCTCCCCATCCAAGTTCCCAATCCAAAATTTTCCAAATCTGAAATTTTGACCTTTGGTATTCCAATTGGAACCCACTTGTCTCTTGTAACTCTTCATATTAATTAATGGGAAGTTGACCCATTGACCGCCTCTCCTTATTTTTCATTCTCAAAATTAGTTGAGAATTGGAAAAGCCACAACCCTTATCCCTTTCCCCATGGTTGGCCAACTCTTGGAACTCTTCAAGTTAATTAATGGGAGGTTGACCCATTAATTGCAAAGTTAACTTTATCTTTTCCCTTTCCCAAAACAATTTTTCCCTTTTCCAATCCACTCTCTCCCATTCCCCTAACCCCACCACTCTAGTTAACCTCATACCATTCCTAATCTCCCCCAAATAGCAAAAATCATGGCTTCCCTCCTTTCAAATTTCGGCCAACATCTCTTCTTTTCCACTATGAAGCAAGACACAAGGAAGGAAACCCTTTGAAGATCAACCGGCCGAGACCACACCACATCTGAAGGAAGCTTCCCTGCGACGCAAATACTCAAGTCTTTCTACTCTTACTTCATACATTTAAGTAGATAGCTTTGAAGTTCAATTCTCTGTGGCAATCACTACGTTCATGTTAATTTAAATCGGCTAGCTTCTTAAATCATTGAGTGCATGATTCTCGTAGTGACTGATCTATGTTAAATGTTGGATCTTTTTGCCAACTCATGTCAGCTAAGTAATTGACTTGATTTATCATGAATTCTATAACTTTGGTTGTGATTAATTACTATTTATGGATTGCCTTTCTTACTTGTTTGAATATTGTTTTATGCATCCCCATGATTAATAGCTTGCTGATTTTAAATTTAACTTGTGTTTAATTTCATGATTATTGATTTTAAATTTAACTTCTGTTTAATTTCATAATGCAAGTCTTCACATGCTAGTCCTACATTACAGATTTTAACAAAAGAATCTCATTCCCATTCTGGATGACAAAAATATTCAAAATTTTCCTATGTACTTAAAAAGAGCATAAGAAAGTATTTCGATCAAGACTCTAAGATAAACCGGGTGAGGAACTTTTAAGCGTGGATAATGAGCAGCAAGTTGTGGTTGATGGTTTGAAAGACGTAAGTGGATGATGATGGAGGAGCCAGTGGATGATAGTTGAAGATTTGAATGGCATTGGAAGAGACAAACACCTGCTAGGTAAAAGGCTTTCTAACCACCTAAGTATGGCAAAAGGATCCATCATTGGGGAATTCAAAGAAAGGGTTTATATGGCGAGGCTAAAAGGGGTGGCCTTGGCCGCCAAGTTATAAAAGTCTTCACATATGCAGCAAGATAAAAGAAAAAGGATCAAGGTTGATTGACCTTAATTGTTGTAGTTGTACTGCCCAAAATGGAAGGCAATAAGCCTATCTCTTCGGTAGACATTCCTCTTGCATAAAAGTCAAAATAACTTCGAGAAATAAAGTCGACAACAACATGCAGCTCAATGGATGATGTCAACAAAAGGATGATCATCATCAACACTAGTGAATGGATAAATCACAAATGATGCTAAAAATGCATTCGACGTGATTTACCCTCCAAGTTGCAGGGTGCGCAAGGAGGTACATTGTCATGACACCCCATTTTGTGCGAGGGTAGAGGGATGGGAAAGGCACCGAAAAATGAATCAATCAATAGAGCTGGGAGAGAATTGAGAAGCTAGGAGAGGACAAATTGAGTTCAGCTCAATGAAAGGTAACTTCAAGTCAACTCCTTGGAATGACTAGTTGGCATATCGGCAAAATCAAAGTCACTGACAAAAGACATTAGCCAAAAAACCGAGGTGCTGGCCAGTGAGCTGACAAAATGGATGCTAAATAGTCATCAATAGGTCAGCATGAGCCATCCATGAGGAATCTCTAGGAGATTCAAGGGCTTATATTCTAGAATTTCAAATTTATCTGGATCATGAGGATTGTGTGAGGTAGAACGAATCGATGAAGTGCCAACCAAAAAATATCTCAACAAACACTTATATCCTCTTTGGTTCAAGAAGTGTCCAACGAAGTAGTTCGGTGCTCTTAGATTAAATTTAGTGTTTCAATGGATATGGACATAAGCAATACTCCTAAAGGTTATTGATGAAAGTATGAGTGTTTTATTATAGGGAAAAAGTTATGAGAATTTTAATAGTTATTTTATTTTGTAATATTTTTACTGAGAAGTTAATTTATTATGATTATGACAATTAAGGAAGCTCTACTAAATAGACTTCCAAAACATTCCTCTCGAAAAATTGGGTCTTCATAATCTCATGAAGATGATTTTTTCTTTATGCTATAACCCATTTTGTTGTGGGGGGTCAATAGAGGATTTATGAAAGATATAAAGTCCTTCCCATCATTTGACTTAATTAATTAATATTAGATACGAATTGGGTAAGGATCATTTCGTGGAACATTAGGAGAATTGTACTCGCATTGGATTTTTTTTATGAGGGATAGGTAGGTTGTGCATGAGCAATCATCTAAGAAAGTAACAAGCCATATGTTATCATTAATATTAGGGGTACAAGATGGTTCACATACATTAATGCAGATTAATTAGAAAGGCATGGAGGCATTTGAGTGACATAGGATGCAAGACACTCAATTGTGTTTAGGCCATTTGACAGACATACTCAAAACCTTTGAATTTTTATTTTCTTGGATAATGTGAGAAACATGGTACAATACAGAACTGAGGCCATCTAAATATAATGGAGCCAAACTTACGCCTTCTTTGTATTCAAGTTTTAAGATAAATAAAATTGAGAGACGTGATTACTCCTTGTATCCAGATAGTAGAGTCATCGTTTCATCTTCCTCGAGGTTCAATCTTGTATTCATAGTATAATTTAGGACAGATGATAGGTTTTGAAAAGATAATAGGTTTATGAATAGTTTAGAAACTTGGAGAGCATTTGATAATGAAAGGGAATGCGTGAGTTTAATATATCCCTTTTCAATAATAAAAGCTAAGGTTCCACTAGCTATTTTTATTTTTTTGTTTCCTGCGCAAGGCATATAAGAGAGTTTGGTCAAAGAGTGTTTGTCATTACCTGTGAGTCTATGTTAACTTTTTTTTTTTAACTATTTTCATAAGCAAATTAGAGGTATGAGGTAGTATGCTCACCGGATTGAGTCATAAAACAAATACCCATTGATTTGTCCAAAGTTTTCAATGTGTGGAATTTCACCATTTCTTTTTAGCTTTAGCCCTTCTATCTCTACAACAGTCTTTTCTTCCATAGAAGCAGTAAGGACAGTTTTGGTATGAAGTTTTGTTCTTATTGTAGGGAGGCTTGCCTTAGAGTTTCCAACATATGCTTTTTGTATGTCATACCTTCTTACAATAATTATAAAACATAGATTCTCAATTATTGGACCTTCGTGGGCCTTGTTTGGGCTTGGATGGCTCGATCTTGCTCGCATTTAATGCAAGGACAGAATTAGAACAACACTCTCAAGAACATGTGATGTTTCTACTATAAAATCTTGCCTCTCTTCTACACTTCAAATAATGAAAAATAAAAAAGTTTGATTTGGTTTGAATATGTATTTAGTCATATATTCAACATTTAATTTAATTGAAATTCATAAATTCTTTCTCCAACAAAAGTTCATATCAAAGTATCATCTTTACTACTGGTTTGTTTGAGGCAGCTTTCTCACAACTTTGCTTTTCAAAATGCTGCCATGCATTTGCTTGGCTTCTACTTTCTCATTGAATTTTAGAAAATTTTGTGGTGAGAACCTGCTATTGAGAATAAGATCTACTAGTGTCATAGCTCTAAAAAAAAGTTGCCCAACTTCATTAAAAAGAAATATATTTATAATACCACAATAGGTTTTAGAAAATTATCTTCCAACAACAAAATATAAAAACCTTTATAAAAGTTGCAGCAACCCCAAACGAACCCTACAACTCATTTAGATACACTACTAGTAATTAAGTTCGAGCCACAAAATTTTCTTTTGGCTTGTGTGAATTTATCTTCATAAATTAAGGTGACATCCAAACCTTTGAATATGCTTGCTTCACCATGTCGTGATATCTTTGGTTATGGTTAGGAACATCAAAGTTCCATTGACTTACAACATCATTGAATTCCATAGTCATGATGCGACTGTGAAATCTTTTGCATTCCACAAAGAAAAATCGAGATCATTTTAGCTTAGTATAGATCCAATAAGGTAGTTTGGATTTCCTTTTCTTTAAGAAAAAAAATTTCACAACTCGGGACAAAACAAGAAAATTCATTTCATTCAATCTGAATGAAGGTGATACTTACTTACAAAAGTTTGGTTAAAACCATTTGGTTCATCAACAACTTATGATATAGAAGACATTCTTCTTGGCTTTATTTTTTTTATCTTGATGTTAAATGAAGGAAACAAACAGTAAAGGGAAAACCTTCTATCTGGCAGCGGCTGTACTTGTTGTGAGGACAAACGATAGAGTTTGCTACAATTCTACTTGTTTGGACAAAAAGCGATGGAGATAGCTGCTAGAGAGAGGATGCAAAAGTGGAGACAACAACAAGAAGTTGGAGATGGATGCAATTAATAAAAGGAGGGTGCGGCCTTTCTCTTTTCTAGGGTGTCCTTCCACCCGAACAGCAGACAACGAATGCTAGTAGGAGATGAAGGAGGGTGCTGGGTGCTCATGAATTTCCTACCAAGGTGTTTAATACATGAAGAAATAAGCAATAATTTAAATTTTGTGTGCATTTCATTGAGAACCTTACACATTTATTTAAATAGAATTCTATGTTACTAGGTAATTTCTACACTTGGAAAAAACTAATTAAACAGTGACTACATAAAAAAAAATCCTATCAAAGAATATGCAAGCATTAAAAAGGCTTATATAAATGCATCTATGAGAATAAGGAAGGATATTTTACAGGTTGCATCCTTTACTCCACTAGAATCCTGAGGGATTTCCACTGGCTGCAATCACACACATTGCCAACATTGACTATAGTCTATAGAGAATCCCACTAGCTTAAAATCACATGGATTGCTAACCTCGGCCATTGGACTACCAGACTGCCAACATTATTATTTTTGGAGATTCTTTAGATTGGTTCTAAATATTCTACCTCTAGCAACTCTGTCTTAAGACACTATATTATAGTTTACACAGTTTCATTTATATTAAATCATTCATATTAACCCAATTATTATGTTTTATTTCTCGTTGATAATATGAAGCAAGCTCAAATCAAGTCTATTTTGATCATCTATGAGTCTAAGGTTTACTAATGTAAACCTTAGATGGAATGCACAAAATAAATTCACAAAATATTGCAATTCACAGTCCACCAACTATTAGTTTAAGTAAAATTTAAACTCTATTTATGTAAATCAAAAACATGAAAATCTTGCGCAAAATGATATTTAAAGCTCATCAAAAACATGAAAATTTTGGATGGGAATGCACTGTACCCATGGGCGTGAATTGAAAAGGTTATGAAAAATGAAATTAGAAAGGAAATACCTCCATTTATACTATTTAGATAGTGTCTACTATGACAATTGTACTATTTACAGAAATAATAAAGATATGATATACATGTGCAATATATAGATAAGCATAACATCTCATGGTCATTCTCAAATAAATTTCAAATTGAATTACTTTATGTTTTGTAATGAGCATGCATGTTATTCAAAATATCTTGTATTTTTTTAATTAAGAAGCATGACATACTCACTGAGTTATGTTATGACTCACCCATATATTTATAAATGAACACATGTACGATTCAAAGAGTCAAAACGAATGAAATAAGAGAGAACATGCACCGCAAACGCAACACTCCAAGAGAAAGATAATTGTCAAAATATTTATAACATCCTTTTTAATTTAAATACATTTAAAGTTTTAGTGGCTCTTTCAGTATATTGAAAATAATTAGTTAGTAAATAAAAATTTACATAACCATCCCACCATTTGTTCCTGCCTCGTTAATTGGAGTCTCCGGGACAGATTGTGACATACAAGGGAAGGCAAGTATAGTCTTTGCCATAGTGATAGGACTCATGAAGAACAAATAAGAAAAATAGTGCATCCACAGAAAAGGAAACAACAATGACCAAGTTCCAGCTATGGCGCAAGTTAAAAGTCAATAGGGATCTAGAATCAACGCAAAATCAAGATCACATCTCTTGCTACGTGCTAAGCGCTCAACAATCTTCAAGTTACAATATTAGGAGAAGTAAACCTCTAACTATAACCTTCTAAATGTATGGTAAAATAATAGTAAATAGAGCCAATAACAACCAACCAATCAATGATTAGAGATTCCAACTAATATAGGGTGTGCCAAACTATACCAACACAAGCTTTTAAGAACACAACTCGTTCTCAATAAGATCATCATCTTATGCATATCTTATCAAGATAAACTTGAATAATAAAAGCTATGACATATAGAAAACTAAATCAATTTCAAGAAATGATGTGTAACTAATGAATATAGACTTTTAGATTTGCATCAATTATTCAACCAGCTTATTTGGGAACTAAGATTGTCATTGGTTCATATTTTATCCGACTGCATATTTACAACCTCTCCTTATTTGAACCATGGCTTGTTGGGACTGGTCATATTCTTATGATGTGGTTGTGGCTAGATTAATATGATTGAACTTTTATTACTTATCTATATTACTTAATGTATGTGTCTATAAACACGGTTGCTTAAAGATGTGCAAAAATAACTTTAGCTTGAATAAAATTTAAATTTAATTCATGTAAAATTGTCTCCATCCTTCTGGATTTTTTATCGTTGATTAAGTGTGAGATTTGAAACATTTTCAGAAGAGATGATCTCTTTATTCAAATGAGGAGGTTGTTGTTTAGTAAACTCTTTTCATTCTTTTTCTTTTATTTCCTTAAATTAGTGATGGATTGACAATATGATTGGTATATTTTCATATTTGCTTCATATTTGGGTTCATTTATTAGCATGATATCTTAATTACTATGATTCTCTTATTTCTTACTTATTATGACTGAATTCATTCGAAGATTAAAGATTTTCTTTGGAAATTGAATTTCGTTTCTTTTTAATGATCATATTTAGCACTATTTAACTTTTGGTGTTAGATAGTTTGCTTCCTCGTGAGTTTTGCAAGTTTATTCTTGCATTTTGCATTAGCTTTTGTTCAGCTCATCTGAAAAATCTATTTAAAAAACATCACTTAATTTTTTATTTAGGATTCGTTTGGGGCAACTGAAGCATTTTGTAAACTTGATTGTAAAGCTATTGTGGGAAAATCAACATTTTTAAAAAGTTGTTATGACTATCATAAATATCTTATATTCTGAAAAGGTTAGAAAATTTTCTTATAGCTACCACGCTCTAACATATCTAGTTGTAAAAAACAATTTTTCATCATAAGAAATTTTTTAAAAGAGAAAAGAACTAAAATGGTCCATTGACTTTTATGAAGGAGCAAAATAGTCTCCAACTATATTAAAGAACTATTTTGATCCCCTAAGTCTTAAAAAATGAATCAAAATAGTCTCATGGTGGGACTATTTTGTTCCTCTTTAGAGATTTGAGAGACCAAAATGATCTTTTAATATCGTTGGGGCTATTTTGATCCTTCATAAAGAGTCAAGTGATCCATTTGATCATTTTCTCTTTTTTAAAAATAACAAAATAAAATTATAACAAACAATATTTAAAAAAGCCAAGTAATAAAAAAACGCTTTGAATAGACCCTTAATCAAGCACGATTTTGCATGTTATATTTACATTAGAAACCATATACCCTAGCATCACATAGCCCATTGATGGTGGCAAAAAATTACAGAAGAAATTTTAGATGGGAATACATGAACATGACCAAAAGTCTTGAGTTCTACATTCTTACACCAAAAAACCATCAGAAAAAAGGTGACTTTAGATAATGTTGGAGAAATTAAGATTCCATGACAATGAGATAATCTTGTAAGTTAACTATGACAGATTTGCCTTCTTTTTTTTTTTTTTTTTGAATAAGTGCACAAATTGCATTAAGAAACAAAGAAACTAATTAATTTGAATAGAATATAAAGTATTGGCTGAAGTTTGAGGTTGCATGAAAATAGATAATTGTGCTTTCAAGATATAAAACTCCAGTTCTAAGATCAAATTCACAATTCAAATGCCTACTCAAGTAGCCAACGAGAAAAATATGATTAAAAAATGCTGCTTTTACAAGGTGTTCCCGCAGTTGAGTGTTAGAAGCTTAACTGACCAATTTTGCCACCACATGCTTTCTTAAACACACTTGGACAATTCTAAAAATAGAGAGTTGGGACCATAATTATAATTTTTCTCAAATAGTAAAAAGACAATTGTTCATGCCACTATTGATGAACAAGTTCTTTTTTACAATAGTCTCACAGAAATAATCAAGGGGAGTAGGGTGTTCCAACACACGATAGAATTCCACAATCAATAACAAAAATTACCATATTCATACCTTTAATGCAGATATATTCTCTAACATTGATGATACCTTCAAAGACGTAAGAAGTGGGTAACAATCCTAACAAAGAATTTCAAACAAGACGTTTGAATGTTAATATGATAACAAGTTATTGAAAAGCAAAACAAACTTCCGATACATACATAAACGTTCAGAGAATGATATGGCTATTGAAGACAAACTGATATGTTCAGTAAAGAGCCTCTTACATGACTAGCAAATAACAAACATAAATGGAATACAAGTCAAGCAATAATTGTAGACAATATATAAAAGTTTCTTTGGCTTTTTTTTTGTCTATAGTTCACCGAACACTTTTGGCCGACCCCACGTAGTGGGATAAAGGCTTGATGTTGTTGTTGTTGTTGTTGTAGTTCACCGAACACTTTTCAAGAGCTTACTTTAGAACATTCATAAGATACTGTTTTGGTTTGAAATTTCTGACTAATTTAAAATCCATTGAACCCATAGTGGTGTTGTGCTAGAACTCCAATATTCAATTGGGAAAATAAAATACACAAGAAAGTAGCTCAACAATTAGCCTACATTCATGAAAGGCAACAAACTCGCTTAAAACTTTGAGAGGTTTACAAAATACTCAAAAAATCTTTTAAGAATTTCACTCATAAACAAAAGTTATTAAATTCAATAACTATTCCATCTTCCCAACCCTAGATTAATAAGTAGCCACTAAACCGGACTTCTATGACAAAAGTGATCCACCACTCCAACAACTTCCATGTAAGCAAGCTTTCTTAAAAAGCTGTTGCCGTCTCTATTGTGTCCTTGAGTATAAAAAACTAGAGAGATATTGATCAAGTCCAAACAATATTGGAACTTAATCTATGTAATCACCATTGTCAGCATAACTATACAACTCTCAGACATTTGATTAAATTATGAAGCCAAAAATAGCTTCCTTGAATGATTTTAATATCAACATATACTTTGTTGTCGTAATAGATAAAGCAACTATTGATTGTAGTGTTGATGTCCAACTCATTGGGCCTCCTACCATATTAAACACAACCAGTTGTTGATCGACAATTATCAGGATCAACAAAACTAGGATCGATATATACAACTAGACAACATACAATCAGCTTTAATTTTCTTGAACTTCAGACAAATATTTATAGTATCCTGAATATACTGCAAATCCATTTAATTGCATGCTAGTGGCCTTTACCAATATTGCACATGTATCGGCTCACCATATTGGCAGCATATGAGATATCATATTTTGTACACAACATCATATGCACAAGGTTATCATTACATTTGCATATGGAACACTTTCCATCTGCCTTTTATTATCACTTAAGTTTGAAGACATTGACACAATTTGTTTGAAACATGAGGCTAAAGCAGTACTCATAGGTTTAACCTTTTCATCAATGTGAAACATCTTGAGTACTTTCTTTAAATGTTGAGTCTAAGATGAGCAAACTATGCCTTTCCCCCCATCTCACTTGATCTCTATCCCATGAATCTTCTTGGTCTCATCAAAATCCTTCACTTCGAACTTTGAGCTTAGTTAAGTCTTTAGTAAGATTGTGAAAATCAGACCGGACATAAAACTGAAAAAAGGAGAGGTTCAGTGTTCAATGATTAGATCGGGTCGAACGGAAATGAACCGAATGATATAATAAATATGAAAACTATTTAAATAAAATTTAAATGACACAGTAATCAGTCATAATATAATTTTTTCATTAAAAAATAAATTGAATTCATACATTAATAATATCTTATGTAATTTTATATTTAAACATATTCAATCTTTAAATTTAATTCAAATTTAACAAAAAATTATCTTACAAATAAATTTATAAATTTAATATAAATTATTATTAATTTATGTTATATGTTTAGATATAATTTACACCTATAAATTACATATTAAATTTATATTATAAATTTACATTTATGAATTATTCTACATAATTAATTAACTAATTTTTATAGTACATAAATAATAAATGAAGTATATAATTTATTTAACATTATTAATTTAAAATAAATGATATTTACATCATAAAAGTTTATTTACAAAATATGTATTAAAATATATAGTGTATGTTGTAAATTTAAAAAGTAAGAGGAACTTCAACTTATTTAGTCCCACATCACTTGAGAACTTCCTCTTGATAATGTTTATATTATTTTTTGAGTTTGGATGAGGTAAGAACTCACATTGAGTGGCGAAGCCATGTGAAATATTTAGTTGGAATTTTTTTTATTAAAAAAATAATTTAAATTTAAATTAGTGATATAACCATTTGAAATGTTTAGTTGAATTTTCTTTATAAAAATAGAAGCAATTTAAATTTAAATTAATTTATTAAAGTACAAAAATTATTTAATATTTATTATTAATGTATTGAACTAATATATTTAATTATTTAAAAAAATTAGAAAGTGAACCGGTCAGTTCAAGGGAATCAGGACCAATTCACAGGTTGAAACCGGCGGTTCTGATAGGTTCTGTCCGATTTGACGTACAAATTTTTTTGGATGAACCAGACCAGTCTTCATAGTTGAATTGGTCGTGCTGGCCAGTCTAGTTTTTAAAACCATGGTCTTTAGTGTATTAATCTCCATCTTGATCTTAGATATTATTAGCATTTCATCAACATATGAGATCAAATAGAAAAATGTATCATCTTGAAATTTCTTCAAGTAAACATATTGATCAAACTTATTATGTGTAAATATGTTTCTACACAAAGTTGTCAAACAACCTGTGCCACTATCTTGATGACTACTTCAAACCATAGAGTGAATTGTTCAAACTGCAATCTCAATTCTAATATTTGTGGCCTTTAAACTCATTTGATTGAGACAAAAATCTCCTTGAAGTTCCATTGAGAAATGCAATTTTTTACATTGAGTTGACCTAACTTAGATCAACCTACGCAACCAAATCCAATAATAGTCGAATAAACAAATGTATAACAACTAATGAGAAATCTTCATTATATTCTATTCCTTCCTTCTAAGCATAGCCTTTCACTAGCAATCAAATTATATTCATGATATTATCTTTGTTAGTAGCACATTCCTTCTTGACAAGGACCCATTTCTAGCCAAACAGTTTATTGCCTTTTGGAAGTGAAACCAATTTCAAGTCTAATTCTGAAGTAATCTTATCATCCATTGCCATCTTCCAATTGTCATTTTCCACACTCCATATGGCTTATTTGTAATTGTATGGAATATCGTCTCCAGTGATTGGAAGATCATCTGCTACCATATCAATATATTGAGCAGGTATCTGAATATTTCTTTTAGGTTAGTGATAATATTATCGGGTTCAACATCACAAACTCATCAAATGTAATATTGCAGATGAGATGCCTTCTCTCTCACGAAAACTCATGAAAATAGCTTTGTTGGATCTATGATCTAATTTAATTCCTTCACATGAAAATATGCAAAACACCTAAACATAAAAAGCAGACAATTAAAATCAAAAACAGGTTGTCAAGACTACAACTCCATCAACAATTTCCCACTACTGCTAACGTAGGCAATTTTTTTATAATATAAAAGGCATAATAAGATTTCTACCCAAACGCATTGATCTGCTTAGACTGAGATAACATGCATCAAACCTTATCAACCAATGTCTGATTCATGCTCTACTACAATTGTACTGTGAGTGTTACAATAAATCGTCTAACTGCTGCATTCTAAAATGAAACAGATTTGCAATCTCCTCCATTATCAAATCTTAGCCCTTCTAATTTTCTTGCAGTCAGGGTAACTATTATTTTCTTCTCTTTAAGAAAAATATCTAGAACTTCATACCCGTGTTTAACGTATACCCAAATATATTTCAAAAAATCATTAATAAAGGAAACAAACACCAATGTGCACATAGTTCAATGTTCCTTTGGTAAGATGAGTCGCAATGCCAAACTTGGCTCTTGTTTGCTTTCCTAAAACACAATTCTCACATAAGTCAAGTTTCCCACTCTTTACACCTTTCAATATACCTTTCTTGCCTCCAAATTCTATAGAGCCTTCTACCTATTATACCCTAAGCACATATCATAGTCAAGAGGTATAAGATCAACCATCACTGGACTGGTTGCAAATGATCCTGCAGTAGTGTCAATCAAGGAAATATAAAGTACCCATGCTCCTTGTAACAACTTGATGAGGACATCGTCAGCATTTTCGATGCCGGAGATCGATGGTTACGAGCATGAGTTGTATTTTCATTATTTTATGTAGTAGTTTATTTTTATTTTATGTTTTTCCGTTTTTGCCCTTATAAGCATTTAGTCGCTTATGTAGCCCGGAAGGGCATTTGTGTCATTTCTTGTTTTTTCATTTTGGCCTATTTATATGAGGCCTCATGCATTGTAATTTTAGTTTTTGAATGAATGAAAATTTGCCTCTTATGTTCTCTTTGTGAGTGCACTTCTCCCAGATCTCTTAGTGAGTTTGACGGAGAATTTAGATCTCTTTGTGAGTTCTAACGTTCGTCCAAATTCATTGTGCGGAAATCCGGGTTGAAGATAACTAAGGTTAGTGAATTCGTCGCCACTTGATTCCTTGGAGATCTCCCCAATTTTCTCCCCTTGGGCTTACCGCCGTCTACCCCCCCCTACCTCCCCACCGGCGGCAGCAGGCCCTCCACCCCTGCCTCCTTTGGTCGGCCCCATTACCCGCGAGCTTCCCAGCCACCAAGCCGGCAGCTTTCCCCCTCCGTTCCTTAATCCCAGCACAGCCAAGCCGTGAGCCTGATTTCCCCTCCTCAGCTCACCGTTTTTTTTCTTTTTTTTTTTTCCTTCACAGCCGTTACCTGCTGTGTTGCCAACCCGTGGGAATCAAGCATTTAATGCTTGATTAACTGCTGTTTTAATCAGCCATATCAAGCAAAGAAACCAGCATTGGATTGTCAATTTGAATCCTATTTCCTTGGCAGTCTTCATAGCCGTTACTGGCTGTGTTGCCAACCGTGGAAATCAAGCCTTTAAGGCTTGATTGATTGCTCTCTCAATCAGCCTTTAGACAAATAATTCCAGCCGTTACTTGGAATTTGAAAT